AAAAAAAAAAAAGGTAAAAATGGAGAAACCAAAATCCAAGACTGCCCACAGCTATGCCCTGGCTCCTCCAGCAGGGTGTTCCTCCTCTGCACTCTACAATAAGGTGACCAGAATTTAACATTGGTAAAGCAGGACACCATTGACCAGGGGTGGGTGGGGTGGTGTTCTTAATTAAAAATTTGGTCTATATGGAGCAACAAAAATTTTCATAGAATGCAAAAATAGTATTGTAATATATTTTTTTTAATTTCAACATAAGTACAATTTACAAATATACATTTTTAAAAATTATGTATAGTATTATTTTATTCTTTGGCATATTTCTTGTAGAATTCTAACAACTGATCAACAATGTGAACTTTGATAAGCAGTTCTCAACAATTATTTGTTATTATTAAAGTTTAACATTATAAAATTAACAAAAATAATATAAAACTCATATCCTGGCAAAATAGCCACATGGCAGCCGAAAACCAAATATTCCCTTCCTGTTCTCCCGCCATTCCCTAGCTTGTAGTGCATTCTGTCCAAAAATTGGGACTTTTTTTAAAATGCCACAGAACAAATTGTTAAAAAGCGGGACATCTGATCATCTTACTCTACAAGCATGCTGAGCAGATCAGAAAGGAGATGGAGATTCAGACACCCAACCCATTTCCTCATACACTTCATGTCCCTGCCCCAGGATCCCTGCAGACATGGCCCAGTGAAGATGCATTCTTCTTCATTGGAAGAGACAAAACAAGAACTAAGTGTTTTAATAATAAAAACAATAGCAAAACAAGAACAGATCCTCATTTATAGTATATATGACTGATGCAAGTGATTAAGGAAGTAAAACCAATCTATATGGTGGTAGCAGCACAGCAGCTGCTAAGGAGGAAGGCTGGGAAAGCCCAGGTCTTCGTTGTGGGATTCAGGGAAGAAGCAGGAGAGGACTGAGGTTGGGGAGGAACAACTGGTGTAGTGTGAAGAGAGAGTTAGGACAAGGGGGAACCATTAGCAAAACTGAAACCAGCACTCATGTCAAGAGGGCAATAGCCTAAGGTTTGCGTGTGAAAGAAGAACCAATAATTTAAAAAATAATTTTTAGTAGTTTAGAAACACATGGAATTTGTTCAAGCTGTCATCTAGTACAGAAAGCAGATTCTGTATATGGCTTCTTTAAAATGAGGGCTCTAAGAGAATGCAAGTATTGATTGCCTTCTGTGTACCAGGGATTGTCTGCTTTCATTAATAACAAAGCATTTTTGTTATTAAGTCCTAATTCCCTAACTTCATGGAATAGCCATCTTCTTGCTCCTAGCACTGGTCTCTGGGTCCACAATGGCTTCCCTCCCTGTGCACTCTACGGTTTCTGGCTGACTCTGCCTTCATAGTCTATGATCCATAGTGCAGGCAGCCTTAATTCCTGTGTGCCTGGGCTGGGTTTCAGTTATCTGAAAGCTACTGGAAGCAGAACCTCTCCCAGGAAAGCTAAGGGTCCCTGGGGGAGGGTTTCAGAGTTTACTTGGAGAGGACTGCAGTGACTGCTCCCACCTCCTCTTGCACAGCACTCACACAAGGATTCCAGTGAGGAGGAAGATCACACCCAGGAAATTTGGCACTATGGGTGATGTGCCAGCTTTTGGACCAGCACTTTCTTCCACCTGTTTCTGGTACTCGCCAGTCTTGTGCCCAGCTCCAAGTCTGTGTTCCACAGTGGGGGTGGTGGTTTCATTGGGATGAGGGAGCTCTTCGTCCAAGGACAGTGATCCTGGTGGAAGGATGGAGTAGTGGGTAGATTGCAGAGTGAATGGCACAAGTTTCTGGGCAGGGGTGCCCACATTTGAACAGCACCCATAGCACAGTGGTTATGGCGCTAGCCACATACACTGAGGCTGGCGGGTTCAAACCGGCCCAGGCCTGCTAAACAACAATGCCAACTGCAACAAAAAAATAGCCAGGCACTGTGGCGGGCACCTGTAGTCCCAGCTACTTGGGAGGCTGAGGCAAGAGAATTGCTTAAGCCCAAGAGTTGGAGGTTGCTGTGAGCTGTGATGCCAATGCGCTCTACTGAGGATGACATAGTAAGACTCTGTCTCAAAAAAAAAAAAGAAAGCTGGGTGCTGGGGGAAGTAAATGATTCTGGTGCCACAGAAGCCACATTTTGGAGAGGAAAGAAGTAAGGAATGAAGGCTATCCGAGGAGAAGATGAAGAAGAAATTAGAGGTATAGGAAAGAAAAAGTATCTTCAACTCACCCATCACAAGGGTCATGGCTGACACCCCATTTAAAAAAAAAAAAACAGATGTAACAAGAGAAAACCATAACAAATTTAATCAAACTTTTACATAACATACAATTCTTCAGAAAGAAGAAATATTTTATGCTAAGGTTCAGGGAAGAAAGGACACTTGTGTAGAAGTGTAATTAATAAAATTCTTCTTGGCCTTCAGGATAGGGCAGAACCCCTCTGGAATGAGGGTCTTAAGGCCCATTTCCAAGTGAGGTAGCTCAGAGTATTCCTTTATGACTAACTCACACTAAAAGATCACAAGGGCTCTGAGTGAGCTTCTGCATTTTTCTGAATTGCCAAGGTGCCATATTTTGGAGTATCATGTTCTGCGCTCCAAAAGAGAAGAGCAGTGGGTCAGGGAGAACATCAAAGGAACAGCTGAAGGCCAGAGGAGGAAGGCAGTAACAGAGGAAAAGTAGAGGACAAAGAAGTGATTAAATCACTTAAGCAAAGAAGATGCAACCACTGAGATAAGTGAGTAGTCTAAACAGAGAAGTCAGGAGAGGAGCCCAGCATTGGAACCCTGGCTGTGCTACACATTAGCTGTGTGACCTTGCCCCTTGTTTCTCACTTCTCTGGGACTCCTGTCTTTCAGCTGTAAAATGAGGATAATTTTAATACCAAGAGTCAGGAGAGCTGGAGGGATTAAATGAAATAATATAGGTCTAGGCAGTATGAAAGGCAGTTTGGGCACCACTGATGCTACACAAAACAACTGTAACTACAGTGTGGAAGAACAATTGTAAAGGGTGTGTATTTATTTTAGGACAAAATCAGCACATCAAACTTGTGACTTCAAAGATACTACTGCTTAAGGTAAGTTGCTATTTTCAAGACTTGTTTGTGTACACTTAAGCCTTATTAATTTCATTGTATATAAATTTTACCTCAAAAGTAAAAGCAGTAAGAGATTGAACTCTACTTGATACATATGTGCATCCTGAAACATTTTGGGATGAAGTACAATGATGACTGCAACTATAGTGAAATACATCAAAAATAAAGTGACTGATGACAGACAGATAGAAGGATAAATAGTGGCTCCACAATGAATGTGGATTAAAGCAAATACAGTTAAATGTTGTAAAATATAAAATACCTCCATTTATATAAATATGTAAATATATATCAAATTGTGTAGAATCTAGGTAGTGGGTATGTGGAAGTTCATTGCATAATTCTTTCAACTTTTGGTTATGTCTAAATTTTCATAATAAAATATTGGAAAACAGGCTCTGCCCCTGTAACTCAGCAGCTAGGGTACCAGCCACACTGGATGTGGTGGGTTCAAACCCAGCCTGGGCCTGCCAAACAGCAATGACAACTACAACAACAAAATAGCCAGGCGTTGTGGTGGGCGCCTTTAGTCCCAGCTACTTGGAAGACTGAGGCAAGAGAATCACTTAAGCCTAAGAGTTTGAGGTTGCTGTGAGCTGTAATGCTACAACACTACCCAGAGCGACATAGTGGGACTCTGTCTCAAAAAAGAAAAGAAAAGAAAAGAAAATATATATATATAGGGAAACAAAAATACTGCCTTGATTTCAAGAAAAAATATTAAGTAAATAATGGCCTGACTGCTAGGCTCAACCCACATATCACACTCCCAATACATAACTCCACCTGGGCCCAGGTAGCCCAGCCTCTGTCCCCAACCCCAGGTGGCCTCCTCCTGGTCCCAGCTGCCTAGGAGACCCTGGCAGTGCCTGGCTCCACACTTAACTGTGCAGCAAAAATCATGAAAGTGGTGGTGAATGATGTTTGACCAACAGGATCTTAAATGAAATTACTTTGGTCAGGATCATTCTAGGAATGTGTGAAGTCATGGGGGAAAGAGCCAAGGCAAAGAAAACCTCTCACCTTGGAGATCAAAGCAGCTCATCAATTCTTGAACCCACTGGTCTTTGCTGCCCCCACACACACTCCGGTAAGGTAGCTGGAACCTGCAGAGAAAAGACCTGGTCTAAGGTGTGGCTCCTCCTCCTCTTCCCCAGCAATTTCCTCATTCCTAAGACACACAAAGTCACTACCAAGAAAAGCCACTTCTGCTAGAACTAGGAAATTCCCAGGGAGGTGGAACAAAGAAATTAAGATGCAAACAGAACCCCAAAGTGGGTAGGTCTACCCGAAAGTTCTTCAGGTTTGACCAAGGAGGGTCCTGGAGGCAACCTGACAGGATCTGCTCTTGCAGGTACAGGTGAGATTACCTGACATAATTCGGACATCGGTGGTAGCCTTTCAGATGTTTTCGGAGGTGATCCATGAATTGAAACGATGGGGAGGAGTCAGAAGAAATAATTTTATCACAGTGACAATTTCCAGTGATACTGCCCTCCTTGCCATCACCTGTGCAGGATAGGGGTGGTCAGCATAGGTTGTCAGGCCAAGGGCCTCTCCCCTGCTGTTACTTAGCCTCCAATCGCCTGCCCTCCTGCGGCCTCTCCCCTAGGCCCCAGGGTCTGACTGCCAGGCTCAACCCACACGTCACACTCACAATACATCCATAATCCCACCTGGGCTCAGGTGTCCCAGCCTTTGTCCCCAACCCCAGGCGGCTTGCCTTCTCCTTGTCCCGCCTGCCTAGGGGACCCAGGCAGCGCCTGGCGCCACACTCACTCTGCGGCTGTACTGTCCTCTCCCCAAATCCATTCTCGTGGCCTGGGACTCCGGGATCTGGGTCTCCAGATCCCTAGACTCATTACCTGGCAGAGTCAGCTGAGCCAGCAGAAGCACGAGAGACCAGCGTCCCCAGCCGTGGCACATCTCGGGGTTCGGCAGAGTTTGGGGGGACTGGAGCTGCCTCCACCAGTCTGACGTCCACACAGGCTCCAGAGTGTCACGTCCCGCTGATTTCTCAAAGTCGCTTCCTTTCCCCTCGCCCTTCTGAGATTCTGAAGGAGACAAGTCCGGGCTGGGCAGGGGGCGCGAGGCGGCGGCGCCCTTCCTTCCCGCGCTCGCGCCGTCGGGAACGGACCCTGCGGTCAGTACAGCCCAGCAGCCTCCGGCCGCGGCGGCGCCAGCAGCGGGGAACCCCCCGGAGGCGGAGCTCCCTAGACCTGCGCCCCCGCACCTGGACTGGAGCCTCAGGCGAGGGGACAGCCAGGAATGTTTGAAGAAACCCAAAGAAAACTCAGGATGAGGGACGAGGCAGGTGGGCCCACGGCGGGACAAGCTGATTATGTCGATTCGATTGCTAGCTCCCTCCGCCTGCCGTGTGAAATGGTTGAACCACGGGCCCCGCCTCTTTTAAGATTCTTTCACTTCCAAGGCTCTAGTCACATGGCCTGAGAGTCACCAGGTCTGACCCAAGTCCAGCTCGCTCTGTCCAGAGCACCCAGCAGCTGACTCCCCGAGGCCATGGGGGCGTGGCCACCCGAGGAGCAGGCAGTGGGCTCGGGCAGCCCTGACGTCATGACCGAACCCCTCTACCCTCCCCCGAGATATTTACCTTCGAAAAGTGGTGGCGGCTGCAGGTACCGGAGGACTGGGGCGGCGGGGCTCATTGCCAAACTCATGGATCGGGGAATGCCGTCGCTCCTCTTCCCATACCCCCACCGGAGGATTCCAAATTCTTCCTTCCTCACCAAATCCTTCCCAATAGGATTAGCCACCCTCATCTCTGGTCATCTCTATTCTTTAATTTAAACCCTACCTTTTTTTTTTTTTTTTTTTTTTTTTTTTT